ACACACACACACACACACACACACACACACACACACACACACACACACAGTGTATATGCTCAGCCCATTTTGTGTAGTGACACGAACCTTGTACTGTTGATAAAATGGAACTTAAAAGTGTTGTGCAAAAATGTGACATTTATCCATAGCAGTATTCTTCCTAAGCAGCTATCTTCCTAAATAATTAGGTCATTTTTTTTAAGTTTGTCAGAAATCTCAAAAAGTCATGAGGTACATTTTTGGTTAAGTTTTTTGTGTTTCTTGAAAATCTTGAAAAAATATAACTTAAATTATTATTTTAGGAATGTGTCAATTTTTGAGTAGAATCTGTTTTAGACAGTTTGAACATTGGTCTAAATCAGGTCCTTGTTTGGTTAGCCATTAGCCCATCCTGGTTTGATTCCTGTGACAAATGTCAAAGCTACTATTAGACAGAACATCACTTCAAAAATTACCACACTACACCTTTACTGCAAGACACAGCAACTTGGATAAAATGCAACAACAAAACCAAAGACAGATTCATTTTATAAATGAGACACTTTTATTTCTGAAACAAAAGGAAAAATTAAATATCTGAATTTCCCAGCAAGTACTGAGTGTTGGGACATACAGTATCTTTTAGACTATGGTTGTGTACAAATTCAATGGCTGCCTCCTTCAAAGGACRCAACCTACCCAGTCTAGGTTGGCTGAATTCTTGGTTGACTACTGAGACCGAAAAAAAATGTCTAGCCTTCAGCTTTATCCCCGCCTTTTCCCTGGCGTATGTCTTGCTTCAAGCAACCGTGACAATGCTAAACAGAAGCAAAAATTGATTTAAATTAGCTAAATATCAGTACATTAGTATTATTAATACTATAAAATAACAAATTAACTTAAAGGCAATATTTAAAGAACTAACAGACCTGCTGTACGTACACGTTTATTTCACCATACAAGCTTGTTTGATTTCTGACAAAAATAAATGTTATGAAACATGTCTATGCAAATGAATAAAAGCATTAACAACACAACCGCTTCAAACTCTCAATTTTCACACCACCAGATTTTTATTTAAATCTATTCATTTTTATCGCTTTGTCATCCATTACAAGCAAAATAATCTCCTGTCAGCCCATTGCACCATGGGATAGGCTGGACTGAGAAGGATCCACCCAACTTATCTCTCAAATCGGGCAAAAARGAGGACTTATTTGTCAGATGCTTTGGAGGAGTCTTCAAATTTGGACAGTGCCTTCGGAGAACGCAGTCCCTGAATTTGGACGCAGCCTATTGGAACATGCCCGCCAGTGCTGGGCGGTATACCAGTTCATACCGAATACCGTTTTTTATTTTGTTATGATATGAATTTTCTGAATACCGACATACCGGTTAAAATTGCCTGAACACGTTCGGAACGTTTAATCGCGGCCGCCAGTGAACTGGCCATACCGCCCAGCACTAATGGCCGCCATCTTGAAAGCTGCCATATTGGATCAGGGGCAAGGTTTTCTAGTGGGAAGGTGGCCATTTAGCATATCAGTGAGGAATAGAACTGTCTCATAAATTGATTACCAATCAGATGTGCAGTATCACTTGTGGTTCAGAAGTTAACACAGAAATTTGCTACAAAATCTGGTAACGTTACCTGTGTTGCATAACTACTGGATAAGGTCAATGTGCTGTGCCTGGTGCTGAACCCAGAACTGAAGGCACAGGATCTAATCATGAACCCGCATGAGAATCTGGAGAAATGGGGTCACAAGTCACAACAATGCAGTGCTGAAGGTGGTGCTTGTTGCCGGTTTTCTCAGCATACATAATATGTTTGAGATGATGTCAGAGATAAAAGTTAAGTGGTGTGAGATTTGGTGATCTGAGCAGCCATTCACACCACAGATACTGCAGGAATCTATTTCTGAGACAATTCTGGTTTTCTTTGATATGCTAAATGATCCTCTTCCCATTGGAAGTTTGATCCAATATGGCAGCTTTCAAGATGGAAACCATGTTCCAGATCTAGCCTAAAAGAGAATCCCCTCACTTATTACTTGCTGGGGAATTCAGATATTTAATTTTCACTTTTGTTTCTGAAATTAAAGGGTGTTTGACTCACCCTATAAGTGATAATGTACATTGCATATCTATCAATTGACACAAAATCTAAGAAATGTTTTTTTTCCAAAACATACATGTAATGAATAAATACACCGTAATTTTACAAGACAGAAACACAACCAAAGATGTGATATTTTGAAGGAAACATCTTGTTGAGCGTTTTGTTGTTGGGTTTTTCGAATTGTGGTGAAATGCAGACATTTTTTATTGTGCTTTTTTTCCTCGTGTTTCACTTGGTGTTGTGTCGTGCTTCGGGGCCGTCGTAAAGAAAAAGTAAATAAAAAAATCTGCTAACACTAAACCGTAACAACCATTCAAATGTGAATACTGTACATTTTGTTTTAAGTTTGTATACAATAAAGTGTATTTTAAGAATTTGCATTTCTCTTCTTTCCGCTGTAATGTTTATTTTTGTAGTCAAAAGTCCAGTTTCTCTGTCCACTTTATGTTTGCTTTAACAGATGACACATAGCATGTCTTAGTAAAAAACATGTATTCCTAGACAGAATGTAGCTTTCAGTAATTGTATAGTTGAGTCTACGAGGTCCACAGAGTTCACAGACTTTTTATTCTCTTGCGTTGCTGCTGAGTACTGTGGTGTCAGGTGTGTCTTTTGAAAAAAACTGAAATGAAATAGAGGGGAGCTTTTCAGAGTGTGCTTTGCAAAGCCGAGTAATCAATGCCYACACAAAGTGTGAGAGCTGCATTGATTCAGAGTTTAAAGTGTGTCAATACAGTATATATTTTTAAGTAGCCGCAATTTCAAAAAATTGACCATAAACACTGACAACACTGGGGCTATTTCTGATGCATGGAGGAGACATGGAAGTTGCCTATTTGCAGCGATATTTAAAGAATGTTTACTTTGTTTATTTTACTAAAATACTATTTTTGTTTTTTATGTTTCTTTTGTCAGAATTTTGTTCAAGGTACTTGATATTTTTAGAGACATTTCGAACCAGGCAAAAGATAGGTGTATTCAGTGAAAGCTTTCAAGATAAGTGAGACAAAAAAAATAAAATAAAACGTACATTGAACTAGATTATTTTTATCTCAGTTGGTTTAAAAGAAATTTGGTCTTACTTGCTGTCAACAGCACTCAGAGTTGGAGAATCCAGTTGGATTTTTCACAGAAGCTAGCTCCTCCAGTGGGGCTTTTAGAAGAGTGAATTTCAATTTAAAGAAATGTAGTGGGGCAGTTTGTACCGTGACCTCAGAGCAAACAAGGTTTCAAGTTGAAATCTTAGCCAAGGCTTTTCTGTGTGAAGTTTGCATGTGTTCCCTCCTCACATTTTCACAAAGAGCTCCAAAATGGTACCTAATTAATTACTGAATCTAAACTGACGTTAGACAAACGTTTTTTTTCTACGTAAAAATAAGGGTGCATTAGCATGCCATTGCCTGAAGCCAGAA